CAAGGGATAAACACAATTAGGAGACAGTTGTCACCCTATAATAGTAAATGCCTGAACAAGGACTATCATAGCAGGATTATCAAGTATCAATTTAATGAAAGCTGTAGATTTAAAGACAACAACTTCTGACATTATATCAGCATGTTAAAAGTTATATGAGACTTTACTGATTGGTCTTAGACAGTAAGGCTTCACTGATGTCTACTGTGATAGCAGCTGTCAATATTCTCTGAACACACACACACACACACACAGTGAATGCTGCACCAAAGCATCCGAATCGCATGAGGCATTATGTGACAAAGTAGATCTGAAAGGTATAAATTCCAGGAACCACATAGACAACATGCCTAAACAAATGTAAACTGGTGTACCACAAAGCAAAACAGATGAGAAGATTCAAATGATAGCGGCTTTTCTTTAACAGATGAGCTGCATGCTAATTTCGGGTAAAACTATGGACCTAGTCTATAACTTAGGAATTTTCTGATGATTTTCAAAAAAAGTATTTGGATTTGTATCATATTTACTTTAAAGCAGAACTTTGGGTAAACATTTTCTTTAGGGCTTGTTCACACCAATTGCGGTGCGTACCAGAGCGGGAGCTGCTGGAACACAGCCCAATCACTCACAAAACTTTCCCCTGCGTTCTAGGGCTGAAGGGAGCACCGCAGCCACCCCCCCTACCCGCAGTGTGATCAGATGCATGGCAAAGCATTGCCTGCGTCCCGTTTCACTGCAAACACAAAAATAGAACATGCATATTTTTTTTGCGTTTGCAGTGGAACGGAACAAAGGCAATGTTTTGCCACTTGTCCGATCGCATTCTGGGGTGATTGCTGTGCTTTCCAGCAGCTACCGCTGTGGAACGCACCACAATTGGTGTGAACAAGCCCTTACCTTTGTAGTGGGGCTACCCCTGCACTGCAAGGGTTAACCACTGTTTTTTTGTTAGGTTCAAAAATAACAAAGTTATATTCACTTGATCCTCAGAGATGGTTTGCTCTTAGACCGGTCCCTTCCGCCTTGTTCCCCCTCTGCTGCAGCGGTCTAAGGTCTCAGAGTCATAATACACAGTGGATGTGAGGATGCTGGGAAACATACCATCATTGCAACGGGGGAGATAGACAGAAGGGACCGGTCCAAGAGCAAGCTAGCTTGAAGAATTTGGTGAGTATACCTTTGTTATTTTTGAACCTAGACAAAAACGAGCATTTAACCCTTGCAGTGCGGTGGTAGCCCCACTGCAAGGATCAGGAAAATGTTTACCCGGAGCTCTGCTTCAAAAACACTTGGCTGTTTTAAGACTTGACCCACCAGCTGTAATTCTACAATATGTCCACGCTGACATACCACAACTAGTTATCCATTTTCAAACACATCCTTTGTTACAAGATAGAAAGTTCAAAGTGCATCATGAAGATCTTTTATATTAGGAAGAACATCTTCTTCCCAGTAAGAGAATTCCAGCTGCAATGTCAGACCCAGCAAATGTTAATGCTATCAGCATAGAGGTTATGTTCAGCTAACTTCAGCAAAATTCCTCATCTGTCCCATGAAAGTAAATCATTAAAAATTGAAACCAGCAGAAGAGCAGGATAACCAATCAACTAGTATTATCAAAAGGAGGTTAGCAATAATAAGCCTGCGTATTTTCCTTAGCACAGGTTCCTTGGCTTTGGGTCAAGTATATATATTATAAACTGAATTCTCTATGCTTTTTATGATATGCATACAATCTTTGTTTACAAATAAACATTTTTTACAAAAAAAAAGGTATTTCAGAGCACCACGGGTTATGTAAAGAGAAAGCACAGCAATAGCTGCTGCATTGAGGCTCACTTGTCTTAAACCTCAGATGGAGCCACCTGATCATGACTGACTGCAATGATTTCCTCATCAGACTCATTCACTAGAGCTTGAGTGGCAGAACAGAGGCATTCTCAGAGCCCTGCTTTATATTGCTGCAAATAACCAAAAGAAAAATGTACACAATTAAAGAAAACTTGACAGTCTTTCTAAAACAAAGTTAAATGTACAAATCTTTCTGCAATTAACTTTGTTTGTCATAAAAACCTTATTTTGTGCACACCTTTTGATTCTTTATTTGGTTCAATGCAAAGTGCTCTATTTCTCCAAATTCAGAACTACGTTATGCATCTGGAGCTAGGCCCCAACCCATACCTCCCAACACAATCTCAGCATCCTTCACATTTGGGCTGTGTTCCGCTGCCAGCCTGGTGCTGGAACGCTAATTTCAGTTCCCTGCTTCATCTTGTTTGCTTCTGTCAGGTGGAGTGATCTCCTTCCAGACAGAAGCACCATAGTTCCGGCAAAGGGAGGCGGTGCTGTGGGACGCAGAGCATGGACAGGTAAGTAATCCACTGAACGCCAATGTCCCCCACTAAGCACCAATACCCCTCTCTTCACCCACTCAGCACCAATATCTTCCCTCCCCCTATAGAGCCTCAATGTGCCACGTTTCCCCCAACTGGGGAAATGATCCTCCCGTTGACCATTTTCTTCCTCCCACTGACTCTGGGCATTTTTTCCTTCTACTGACAAGTGACGCCAAACATTTTCCTCGCTGTGACTAGCAACGCTGCCCATTTTTTCCCCCTCTCATTGACCATCTTTCCTCCTGCTGACTAGAAATATGAGGGGCACTATGAAACATATTGCTAACGAGTGCACTCCTTTGTATATAACAAAGTGATTACCAATGTACATTACATATTCCTGACCAAAATGTTTGTTTTAAAGTGGAACTCCAGGAACAAAAAAACTTTTTCTGACTTTTGCTGTGTACAAATAACTTCCCTCCAATGATGGTAATCCTAGGTCCAAATGGCTGCTGCATAAGGTAAAAATGTCCTCTCCCCTTGTCCATTCACAAAAACCCATAATAGAAAGTGTTCTGCAATTAGCAAAGGTAAAGAAGGGATGGGTAAACAGGATCCCCCCCCCCTGTCTATTCAGAGAAGGCCGTGTATAATGTTTACAGTGAATACACATGGAGAGAGGAAAGGAAGGGCAAACAACAGCACTATAATACAAAGGGAGTATGTGTAAAAAAACAAAACAAAATAACATGTGACTAAGCAATCAACCACAGAGTTCTCTCTGCTGCATTAGGGAAAACTCCATGGGACACCTCAGTATCCACAGCATGGCCTGCATTTTATGAATGGGACATAAAATGCATGCCCATAGTGGTTAGCAATATCCACTCTCTGTTAAAGGTGCCCCTCAAAATTTGTTACACTGGTTACATAATATAAGAGTTCACACACCTTCAGTCAAAGACCTTGACTGTTTAAACAGTTTTGTTTAAACAGATATGGTGATGTAACAGGTTGTGAATGTTTGGTAAATAAGATCATTACAATTTAGATAAAAATGAGATGTCATTTCAGAAGCCATTCATGTAGCATTCTAGAAAATTCCTAAAGATTCATAAACATTTTCCTGTATCTGTACTAGGCCACATGTATAAAGCAGAAACGGAAGTGCTGCTCATGGCATCTGATTCCTAATCATATGTTTTCTAGTGCAGGTCAGGATGTGAAAACACACAGATAGCTAAGGGTTACACTTTCACTTTCCTAGGTGTGTTTAATCAATATCCAGCTTCAAAGCATTCTTGTATTAATAGTTTCTTACACTAGCGATCTTTATCCACTCGGCAGAACAGTACCAACCGTGCATGCTTACAATTTCATCCGTTGCATGAATGTTGTATGTCATTCGTGTGCAGCTGTACATTGCAGAATATCAATATCATATGACTACCACTAATGATGAGATCAATAGCATACAGATTTCCCTGATTACAAATTGCCATGGTAGCAGAACACTACCAGAGTGAACAGCTTCTATACGTATAAGCATACTGCAAAGCAATGTCTTGACTACAAGCTACCTTCTCTCAGTAAGCCATCAAAACTGCAGAATCTGGACATGTGCCTGCTGCGTTTCTAGACTTTAGTCATCCATCAAGGTCAATGGGTAACAATGATTAGAGTCCCCATATTATTATATTATAAAGAGTGTAGGCTTTCCAAAGCATCTTCATATAACGGATTGCAATAAACCATCAGGATGATGGTTAATGAATCACTGAAATACTTATACATGTTTCCTATTCTGCCTCATTATTCCCAATGTCACAAGCTTAACAGCAGATCTTGTGTGATTCAGACATGTAGACATGTATGCTTATTTAAACCTATTTTTAGCCTCGTCCGTGGGCTCTATATTAGTTGGCAGTACTAATGACTATGGGATAGGTTAATAATGGATTATCTTTATGTGAAGATGTCAGTAACACCCTTGACACTCCTCAGCTGTTCAGCAGTTGAAATGGAAATGTTGTAACAGAATGACACAAGCTATGACATTAACACCCCGACATTAGACACACTACATGGCATTCGTGCCACAGCTGGACCAGTTCACTCCAGTGCGTTATCCTATCACAAGGCATACCACCCCATATCTCTCTGCATAAGGAGGGCCCTGCTATTTCTCAAAGACCTACAGCATTCTGCATAGTGCCTCCTAGCAAGGCCTTAGAGATAGATGCTATGAACCTACAGTTATACTAAATCATAACAAACAAATATAAAATACACTTATTTTGGAGAAGTAAAAACAAACAATTGACTTAAGGTTTAGTGGTTTTAGGCTATTATGAAAATTCAGCACTGTCATCCTAAAAAAGCACAGTCATACTCTCGGGCTATAGAGATAGAAACAAAATAAAAACTGGATTAATAGCAAAGGCCATTTCAATATGTTAACAACTCAATAGAGCCATAGAGCAGGCGCATGTACCAAACATTAATCTAGCAAGCTACAGCACATATCTGCACTGATGACTTATCAGGGAATGCAAAACACAGAGCCTTAGCAACTGAGCTCCAAGCTGGGTCCAGGTATGAGTCTGCCTGCACCTGCCCTGCAATATTCAATCACCCAAAAGAATACACAGTGCCTACCTTTTACCTTCTTGCTGCTGCCATTCTTTTGCTGTTCATCTTCCTCGTTAATAGTGAATAAAACTGGGGGTGCAGGCCGTGCCCCGGATTTCTTCACCCTCTCCTGCCGGGCAGCTGTAGTCGATCCTGGCATGTTTTTTGCCACCTTTCCCTTCTTCCTGGGTCTCAGAAATATAAGCATGTATCCTACTCTTCTGCGGCAATCCTCCACAAGAAGAGCCTGTCACTGGAGCAGCTTGGACATCTAGAGGCTAGTCACTGACCTACCCATGGGTAATGGGAGAAAGCAGGGAAGGATGTCCAGTGCCAGAATCCACTCATATACAGGATCCAATGAAACAGTCGCTGGATGATGTGAAAATCACTAGATAGTCCTTCTTGCTGGCCCCCGGCCAAGCAGAATCTGCTGCTATTCTTGCTGCACTACAGTACCTTTCCCTAACCCTTGTGCCGGCAATGGCACACTGAAATATTCAGCATGCAGCACAGAAGGAGAAAATATGATACGCCGCTGTTCACAGTTGCCCTGACAACCCTGACATTGCCTAATCAAAGGGAAGCTACGTAGTGCTGCTCCTTCAGCTGGAGCTTGCTGGAATGCTTTCTAGCTCCTGTGCTTCCCACAAGCATTACTGAGCAGGCTGGGCTGTGCCTTCTCTCCGATGTGGGGCGGTAGATGATGTGCTTACATAATGATGCTGAAGGCACAGCAACCTGAACTGCTATCAAGGACAGGCTACAGGTAGCTAGCCAGCTGCTGCGGAACTACAAGCATCAGCATGCTCAACCACCTTTTGGGTAATATGAAGTGGGTCACACGCTATACAATCTCTCTTTGGTTTTTAATCTTTTTACAACCTTATGATTTGACTGTAAGATGTTTCAAGCAATATAATAACTCACAGCATGAAGAAAATCGGACCATCATCTGCTAGTAGTTATATGACAAAAACTGCAAGATTACCACAAGGATTCTGATTGTACAATTCTACTGGCTGAAAGAAAAGAAAAAAACACTTTGTGGAATTGTGAATTCATATCAGAATGTGCTTATTATAACGTATAAGTGTTTGCCACAACCTCATCCCTATGTTATGATTGTCTCTAATGTGACCCAGCAGCTGCTAGGACTTGTGACTTTTGCAATATGCATGGTCCGCTTTATACAGTACATGGTTTACTGGCATCTTTTATTTTCTTATGTGCAAGTGGGCAATTTTGGGTTGTTATAAGAAAAAAAAATGTATTCTGCTACAAACAGTAAGCAATTAAGTATTATGTTTCCAGCACAGGCTGGCAAATGAATCTAACAGCCAGCATCAGTTGGGATGCCAGGGACAACAGCTTCACTCATTTCAACTCTATTGGCCTGCCTCAATGAAGAGACATTCTTATGTGAAATGACCCAGGACAAGAAATCTGAAATCAGCATTAATGTTGATTGGTTGCTATGGGTTACTGTACTCTCTGTGTAAAGAATAAATCATTGAGGGATAAGAAAATAATAACTCTTATTTACCATAAAAAGACCTAGTGTAAGAGAATAAATTAACCAAGTATATATCAACTGATAAACCTTCATGGCTGTATCCTGGTAAATATTTTTCAATTTTGAACATTACAAAGCATAAATGTTGTTTTCTACAGTCCAAAAATGCGATTGAAAGCTCTTTACTTTGCTGGGCTGTGCCCAAAGCAATTGAGATTTATACTTCTGCATTTGTAAGATTTATTGAGCAACCTCGGTAGAAAATAAGATGGGGAGAAACCTCAATTACCAACTCATTATACTGTCCTCCCAGTCTGACTAACCAGAGCTGTTCATCATACAGCTACATATTAGCAGGGTGTAAACACCTTTTTAAAAACTGGTATTACAAAACACAGTATAACTACAGACACATCATCCAGAATATTTTCAGGAGTATGTAGCAAGGAAGGACAAATTTATATTTAATCCAGGAACCAGCAGGATTTTTTTCTAGGAGCCAGCTCCATTGACAACAACTAGAGAAAACGTCAAGTTAGCTTCTGTTTGTCACTTTTAAGGAGCATTGGCTACCTGGCTCCTGGGGTTATTCCACCCATGGCATGGAGGTTTTGTCAGATGGTTAGTATTAACCAAGTTATACACATCACAACATTTTAGGAACAAATTTAAAAAAAACAAATTGCTCTGAACTGGAATTAAATTCATTGGTAACTATGTTAAATGGCACCTCGGATTTTGATAAAGCAGCCATTGGCTACAAATATCATTACCACACAATAATCAGACTTCCTAATCTGTTTTGCCGTTTTAAGCTAACTTGGGATCTTTTCTAGATCCTAAAACACGAGTTACCTTATGCACTCTGTACCAGTTTTATCTTCAGCACTTATCCATGCAAAAATATTAGTCAGTGTTTCACAGAGTACATATAATCATTTGCATCAGTTTCGGTCCTGTTAGGGAGGTCACAATCTAATGAGTCTGGTAATATGACTAACACACTTGGGCCAATGTAGGTAGACAAAGATTACCTTATGTAAAAAAAAATAAAAAAATAAAATAAAAAGATAGCACCCAGAAGAAACCCACATAGACACAGAAAGAACCTTTCAATTCCATACAGGTGACATTTAAACCCAGGATCCAGAACTGTAAGGGATGTTCCCATCAGCAGCACTTCTGGTGTGTGTTGTGAAGGAAACTGCAATTTGCTGATTACAGCGCATCGCACTGTTTACCTTTTTTTTGGTTCTTTTTTTAAACTTCATTGAAATGTCACAAAGTGACATTTCATTCACTTCCACTGAACGCAGCACGTTGCAAAAAAACAATTGCATGTTGTACTTCTCTCAGTGCACACCACCGCAACGCGTTGATGTGAACGTGCTACATAGACAACACGGCAAACTGACTTGTATTTGCATTGGGACTGAGCTGGGCAAATCTGCGAATTGCAGCACAACGCACCTTGTGAACAGGCCATAAAGCATGTCTGACATCCATAACCACTATGCTGCCCAGTTGTAGAGAGTATCATTTTCTCTGTCCTTCCTGACCCTGCTTGGTGCAGCTTTTTAAAAAATAAGCATTTAAAAGGCACACATTATTATAAGGGATATAGATAATACAAAATGTACAAAATAAAGTTGCAAAATGTCCTTTGTGTGTTCGGTCCTTCCATCATGATGTGCAGGCGGGGAAGCAAACACTGAAATACTAGCTGGTGCTGGTCACCACTGTTTCTTTAAATAAATATAAAGAAAATACACAGCAGACATCCTTGTTCACAGGACAGGCTGCATTTACACAAGGTGGGGTGCAATTATGTGCCTCTGGGCTGTCAGCTGTCACTTGTTGCAGAAACAGCTAAATAAATATACTGGATTTCAAGTACTGCGTATTACTGGTACACTACTAGTTACTTACCTGCCTTCTGCAACCTCTTTGTAAAACAGATGAGCCAAAAATAGTCAGTGCGCCAAATATGGATGCACCAAAAAAATTGTTTCATTTGAAGTTTATAAAATGAAAAAGAAAATTTATTATCTGTAGTGACCTAAAGTATTGAACTAAGATAGTCAGTATGACTGCCAAGCAACTAGCATTTTCATCAGGGAAGCTCAGCAATACCAATCCTATTTCTCTCATGACATTTTTGTTTTAAATTTATTCATAATGGATTACTGCTGGCACAGGCAAAAGGTTCAAACTTTCGGTTCAGTCTACATTTAAGTGTTCTAGACTTTTAACCCAAATTTGTACTTGGTTGTATATCTGGATAAAGAAATTGTATACTATTAGAAGTCAGGAGGCTGCTATTTCTACTTTTCTCTAGTTCTCTGGCTTTTAGTCTGGTACTTTCCCATCTTATGTTGAGAGTCACTGAGTTTGGACAATATGCAGAATAGGAGCTGACTTTACTAGCAGCATGCTTGTTCTTTGGTAGCGTTTCATAAAGTACTGATAACAGATACAGCTATGCAATTAGAATTTCAGAAGGTCAGCCATGGCAGACTTCGTATTTCTATCAGTTCAGGCTTTCTTATAAAATACGCCTTTGTGTGTAGTATCAACTGGTATGCATAGAGATAAATTGGAGGTGAATGAAACGGTCATTATTCATATAAAGAATGATGGTGCTGCCCTTCAGCAAAGGAAACCAGGTTTGGTATAGTCAGGGGGAATACTATGATCTCTGTGAGAGGTAATAAATGCCTGTAGGTGTTACACTTGTACATTACTAAGCATGCATACCTTTAAAGCGGAACTGTAAGTATGCACAGCAAACCTGTACATTATGACAGACTCACTGCCTGTTTGCTCCCCTCCAGTGCCGACAGATCAGAACTGTCCCTCACTGATCCATCCACTGCAGCCATCATCTCCCAGGTTTCTGTTGTTTGACGACCCAGCACCTGACTCCATTATTGGCATCTAACAGATGTTGGAAATGGGCTGAAGGTGTAGGCTGCACTGCACATACATTGCAGGTTATTATTTAACTATGTATCTATGATGGCTTAATAAAAAAACCTCTACGTTCTAGCAATTTTTAGCTGTTTTTGCTTTAACATGAAATATATATCTGATGCTAGGCCCACTTTAATATAACTATAAAAAAAAGTTGCCGGGGGGCGCTAGTGAGCAGCCGACTAGCATGGACGTCTGCTAAAACGGCTCCACACCACCCGGGCATGTGATCGCACATAACTCCGATCATCTCCTCTCCTACCTGCACCCCACCTTCCAGCCAGACTCCCTAGACCCTCCGGCAGCACCATGGGCAAAAATCCGCTGCAGGCCCGGTCCCAGCAGAAGACGCCGGGCTCCTCAAAAATCGCGGCCTGAATCCAAGATGGCGGCTGCTCAGGCCTCACCGGCCGGCCACTCGCCTGAGCTGTTGGAGTCAGCAAACGACTCCTCACGGACCACTCCCCGGTGTCTCATCTGTAAATCCCTATTCCCTCCCTCCCCTCAATTTAACTGGAGACTGAATGATTCCCTTCTCTCTTTTGCCGACTCGGCTCAACACATTCAACTGTGCCTTTCCCGCTTTTTTGCGGAAAATGCACTGTCACTTCCCCGATTTCTCTCTGGGAAGCCCATAAAGTGACTCTACGCGGTGAGCTCATCAGTCTGGCCTCCCGGCAAAAGAGGGAACGGAACAAAAGGGTGTCTGACCTCTCCCTGACATTGGGGAGGCTTGAGTCTGACTGAACATTGCCCCCTCAATTCCTCTGCGGAAAAATATTGACTCGGTTCGATTGGAACTGAATCTCCTCTTAAATGACTCAGCCGAAAAACAGCTCCGTTGGACTAAACGGACGTTTTATGCGTGCGCCAACAAACCTGGCCCTTTAATGGCCAACATGCTAAAATCTAAACCGAAGGCCAGGCCCCCGGTCAGACTCCGCCTCCCCAATGGTAGCACTACGGCAAACCCCTCCACCATCCTCAACCGCTTTACCGCTATACTTTCTAAACTATACGGCAAGCCCTCAAACTTTCAAGCCCACCAGGCCGAAGCGTTATTTGCTGGGGTGGACTTGCCCTCACTCACGGAGAGCATGAGCGCCCTTATGGCTCAAGACATTTCCCCCAGGCCCCCAA